TTAGATTATGCTAGACTACGGTTTCGTAATCTCGTATCCTAGTCGTCTACTTCTAGTATGTTGGCCGTTCTAGAGATATGCAGGTTGTTTTAACTTAGATTCTTGTCCTTAGTAAGATGGCAGCTTTCCCTTCTGTTTTTTAGGTCAATCATGGTCCAGCATCCTTGATACTTCATTTCCTCTATTGCTTAGGTTATTCCTTTCTCCTCTAGTGCTTGTTGTATTATTCTCTTTCCTTTCATCGCCGTCTCTGTACTCGTTTTAGATCATCGTTGTTTCTACTAGCTTCTCTAATTTTGTATATTATTAGTAGTGTACCGTCTTCTCTCCGCGTGTACCGTCATTCTGTTTCTTATGCGTGTACCGTCTTCTCTCCGTTCATTCTGTTTCTTTTTACGATTTTCTGTTTTCCATCACATTTTATTCACATACTTTCTTATCTAATCACTTGTTACGCGCTTCCCTACTTTTGAATATTATTAGTACGTTGGTCATTCTGTTTCTTATGATTGTACCTTCTTCTCCCCGTTCAGTTTGTTTCATTGATTGATTTTCTGTATTTCGTCTCACCTTATTCTTACTTATTCACGTGTGCTGTGTTTGTCTCTTTCCGCTTCCTTAATCTTGTATAATCATAGTACGTGTCAGAGGTCCACTGGTGATCCCCGATTGATCCTAGGGAAGGGTTACAGGCATGTTGGCCTGGGGGGTTATGGGCGCACTCACCCGCTACACAAACAAGCCCTTTTATCCCAATGGTCTAGTGGTTGGGATTCTGACATGGTATCAGAGCAAAGGTCTCGGGTTCGAATCCCGGTGTGTGCACCTCGAGCATCCCAGTGCGGGGGGGGTGTCAGAGGTCCACTGGTGATCCCCGATTGATCCTAGGGAAGGGTTACAGGCACGTTGGCCTGGGTGGTTATGGGCGCGCTCACCCGCTACACAAACAAGCCCTTTTATCCCAATGGTCTAGTGGTTGGGATTCTGACAGTACGTTGTTCATTCTATTTCTTATGCTTGTACCGTCTTCTCTACGTTCATTCTGTTTCGTTTGGTAATTTTCCGTTTTTCATCACACCTTATTCGCATTCCTCCTTAATTAATCACTTGTTGTGCTGTGTTTGTCTCTTTCCGCTTCCCTAATTTTGTATATTATTAGTACGTTGTTCATTCTGGTTCTTATGCTTGTACAGTCATCTATCCGTTCTTTTTGTTTCGTTTATTGATTTTCTGTTTTCCTATTTGTTCAATTCTGGTTCTTATGATTGTACCGTCATCTATCCGTTCTTTCTGTTTCGTTTATTGATTTTCTGTTTTCCTATCTGTTCAAAAGTTGTTGCTTTTTAACATGAGGCTCAACAATTTCATATGTTATTGGTTAGTTTTGAGTTTGATGCATTCCTGTATTGATTGGTGTTGTACCAATTGTAAGGCAATAATAAATTAATGCATGTGTGTCCTCCCCTTTTTTCCCATTATGCCTTGTTATTTCCCATTTGCTTTCCCTTCCTTAACCCATCTTTGTCTTACCCTCCAGGCAGTCGAGCTCAATATGAGAAGTAGACTGATATTGCTTGTGACTTATGGTGTAGGATACATGATGTCTTGGTGATTTAGGTTTTTATTTCATCTGCGGTTAATATGCTTTGTTCGGCTTCGTGCTGTTGACCGTTATTTGGGATAAAGAGGCTCTAAACACACCTTTAATCAACACTAGGTAGTCCCCACGGGGTCACATCCAAGGGTCCTTGGGTGCCTGGTAGAACCAGCCCCTATCCAAGGGTCCGTGTTTGAAGAGGGAATTCCCTAAGTGCGAAATCGATCGTGCGTTCTAGAGCGTTCCCAAACTTTGATGCGCAGCATTCAACGACGGATTGGCTCGTGTGGAGAAAAGCTCTTCACGTCAATCCGCTGATATAGCAACTTAACTCGTCAAAAGGATCCAGAAAACATTTCCACTAGAAAGGATTGATCACAATCAAGCACAAGCAAGCATTTTATATTCCGTCTAACACACACGCAAAGGAAAGTAGCAAAGCAGTTGTAAAACTGAATTTCGGATCTTCGCCATGCTGTACTTGAAAACGGTTGCTCAACTTCTTGGGCTATTGTCTTCTTCCTCCTCTTGTAAATACCTGTATTCAATTTTCACTTAGGACAATTGCCCCTGCTGACTCCTCGCATGAACACTCTTAGCTCACATGTGCCTCCAATGTGACTTATACGAGTTTACAGTTGTAAAACGGATTTAACCGTTGAAGGACGCGAGTAACCGAATTGTACCTGTGGCGAAACCATTCCGCAATGCGGCATGACGTTCGCGAGAAATTTCATGTCCCGTGAGTCAACTCGGAAATCAGTTTTTCAACTGTAAATTCCGAGCACTCCTCGTGCCACACGCACGACCGAGATTTTTTCTCGGTCGTGCTGTACAGCGCGCAATGATTTCAATCATGCGCGTGTACAGTGCGGGACAGGGCCGAAACGTGCCCTGTCTTATTGCGATCGTGCAGTACAGTGCACGCGCAACAGTACTGACACATGCCCGAGCCCTGAGGGGCCACACGCGCAAATCAGGACCCCACATGCCGTCCTGATTTTCGCACCCTTTGACTCGCGCGAAACGGTCAAACAGCACCCCCCTCTTGACCATTCAAACTTTCGAGCCCCCCAGCACACCACTCACTCACATAAGCCTCCAATGAAACATTCGAGGCTAATGGCACTCCAATGAGCTTCGCATAAATCATTCGAAGCTCGCCCATATGAGCCTCGCATGAAATATTTCTCATTTGACTTTCATGGGAACTCATTTGAGTTTCATGAGGGCCTCATTTGAGACTTCGTGAGAGTCTCATTTGAGCGCATCATGTGAGCCTCATTTGAGCTCTTCATGAGAGCTTCATGAGAACAGTGAAAACAGAACTGAAAATGCACAAACACAAAATGCAATTACGAATGAAAACGGAACACACAAAATGCGCACACACAAAATGCAAAATGAAAAGACATTTCTCACACCACAAATTTCATTCAAAACAAACTCCCCATTTTCTTATACCGTCGTCGAATAGGCGGTAGGTTGACGTGGAAATTAAGTATTTGCACCCAACACATGCGTGCGCGTATGTGTGAATGTGTATGATCATGTGTATGTTGGGCTGAGAAAGCCGTTAGGATCTTTGCAGGACTAAACTCCTGGTAGAACTGATGTAATAGCGGAAGCGTTTAATGAAGAGTTGTGAACCACCTTGCGCTAGTATGTGAGGGCAAAGTAGATTGATTAATAACAAAGAGATACAAGCTTTTTATAAGAGTACAAGGGAATATGAAGGGTTATAACTAATAACCGTTTTACTATTGCTGTTGCGGTTCGATACAGTGACGACTCGGGCAACTGCTCAATAGCGAGTCAATTGTTTGTCCTTGCTGTCGCGCTGTATTTGTCAGGTCAAAGGTTGCTGACCATTGACTTTCGCGTAACCTCCAGCAGTTGTTCAACCTCCGAGGGTTGACTCGCTGATGCTTCGATATGTTGTGCTTCACTCCTGACTTGGTGTTTCGACACGACAGAGGCGCTTAAGTTAGTTGTTTCCAACAGTGTATGCGTTGTGTTGTGTGCGTATGTGCTTTCATTCATGTTTTCATTGCATTAATAACACATGTCTGTGGGTTTTAAAAATTGGGATCAAACTATCATTTCCGAGAAGGTTCTTTGCGCACTCAGTAAGTGTGTCAATTTGAACTGGATTTGATAGAATTGACCTTTTATTTAGATCACACAGATTGTGTTGTTTCATGTGACAGGTGGATGATTAAGAAATTATGTTATTGAGCACCTCCCCATGCTAGGCAGAGGATGCGGTAGCATAGGATCTTGGTCAATTAGCTGTTACGCATTTTTATCATGCTATGCATTCATTTCACTACCACAGTAGCATATGCAATGTAATTATGCATTTTGCATTTACTTCATCTACGCATAACATCATCCGGCTTATGCATCACAGAATAAACAGGTTACGCGTTCGCAGTACATCATTTTGGCAACTCATGAAATATAGGTTCAGTCAAAGCAAACTAGGAAATGAGAAGGAATGTGGTTCGGCACGTGGCAAATTGACGTGGCAAATACAGCAGTCAGTCACTTACGGTAGCTACCGTTCACTAGATTTTTTTTCATCCATTATTTTTTTAAGTAAAGAGGTTTAAAAAAAAATGTACATAACGATTGTAATAGGTTGCTTCGCAACCAAAAAAAAAAAAACGGTCCATAGGGTTGAATTGAGTCCAATTTCTCCCTTTTTCCTTCTTCCACCAACTCTACCTTCCCCTACACAAACTTGGGGGATGACAAATTTAAACCCCCAGATCATATGCGGCATCTGGGCTATTACGGTTTAATGCACAAAAACACATCCTTCAACCAGACCATGATCATCTACGGAATCAGAATGCTGCCTTAGCCAGATTTGGCCAGCACGGCAGATGCAGAGGCAGGCTGCAGGCGGCAGGATGTAGAGGTCAGTTGTTGCAGACTCCTTTCTAAAGCTTGACTTTGTCAGGCAGGCACACGCGGGTTGATTTGACGAGCTTGTCGATGCAGTCGTATCCGTTGACTTTCCTGTAGCAACCCTTGATGCCCCGGAAGTACTTCACCTGAATGGTCGTGCATCTGTCGCCTGTCCCCACCACATACGCATTCGCACGCGGGCACGTGCCCTAAGTGTACGACGTGGAGCTCGCAATGCATGCCTGGGGGGGGGGGGGGGGGGGGCGGAGGGGGGAGGGAGGGGTGGTGGGTGGGGACGGTGAAATGAAGAAGAAGAAAAGAGAAGTGGAGCTCGCAATGCATGTCTGGGGGGGTAAAGGGGTGGTGGTTGAGGTTGGTGAAATGAAGAAGAAAAGAGAATTGAGCAAGAGACACAAGAGAACCAGTGGGTTGGTCTACGAGAGAACCAGTGCGCAAGGCAGTACGCATGAGGGAGACGACGAGTTCATTAGTATAGGACAGGGAGGAAGATTGATCCACACGGAAGGGAAGAGAGGCACGAGCAGAGCCGGTGCCACACACAAACCTCAAAGCCAGTGAAGCTGCCAACGTCAGTTTTGGGAATGAGGTGGTTGCACTTGATGCCGGGGTTGAGTCGGAAGAAGTCAATGGAACTCAGAGAGGGGTAGGGCACATTGCGGATGGACTCGCACGTCTCTGCGCTCTGCACCAGGTAGTACTGCGAGCACACCGGGATGAGCCCCACTTTCTTCTTTATGCGCTCCACACACACCGCCTGCTCGGGCTGCAGCAGCCCACCGTTGGCGCTGCAGTCCAAGCTGGGGTTGAGCGCCTGGAAGGCGGCCGTGCAGGTGGCAGATGGGCAGGACCAGTGCACTTCGAAGTAATCTGCTAGGGCCGTGCATGTGTCACTCTGAGGATGAGATGGCCAGGGAGGAGAAGGAGGTTTGAGGCAAGGGAAGCAGGGTTGAGAAGGGTGTGAGAGATCGACTTAGTGACGGGAAGTTAGGGGAACGAAACGTTCAACCTGAGGCCAGGAAATGGGTTTGAAGTGAGATGGAGGAGGCACAGACAGGGAGGGGCATAGAACGACATGGGTGGAGGGGCGCATAGAGGAAGACACATTGGCAGGGAGGGTGCGAGGTGAAGACCTGCTGAGTGGTGTAGAAGACGGAGCAGGGGATGAGAGAGGCTGGGCTGGCCACATTGAGAACGGTGGAGGGTGGGATGGGTGCTGCACATGACACCGATGGCTGCACAGACCAAGGGACATGCATGAAGAGACACGGCACACACCCAGGCAGGCATGGAGTGGCAAGAACTTGTGTGTGAGCTGTGAGGCAAAAGACAGGGAAGACAACTGCTTGTGTGAACTTTGAGAATTCTCAAGGTTGCGGGTAACGCACATTCTGCGTTTGGAACTGGGCGAGCGTGAGGCCGTAGACCAGGAAGACATCGGAGCAGCGGACGTTGGGAGAGAGTACGGTGTAGGTGGTGTTGGTGTCACCTGCATGCAGCACAGCATGTAACATGCAACAGAAGTATCAACAGAAGTGAGAAAGTGGGAGGCTCAGAACACAGCATGCATGGTTGCTGGGAGTTCAGTAGGGCCGCTATGTCTACATGTATGTCTGCTAGGTGTGTTTATGTATGTTTACGTACCTCCATACCCTTAAATTACGGCCAGGCTAAAATTCTGAACTCTGACCGAGTTTTCATTTGAATACGTTTTAAATAAGTGTACTATGTTCTCACCTGTGAAAAAGGTGTGTGCGGTCGCACTACACGCAGGCGAGATGGGATTGGAGGTTCAGGGTTACACACGCACAATGTAGTGTGTACCATGAGCAATCACTGTAGAGTCATGGCATGCTGACACGGTGGCTCCATGACTGTCTCGTTGGAATCTTACCACCAATCACAAGGGTTGCATGTTGGCCCCGTCCCTCGACCGAGCTGGCACGAGGGTATGCATCCCCTCTGTCGAACAACCGTTTGGTAGACCAAGGGCGGACCAAAACCAAATTTATGTGTACAATGGATTTTGGGACGTAAGGCCTTAACTTCACGGAATGTCATTGAAGAAAACCCTCTTGTCACTCAACAACCACCATTCCTCGTCCATCACTTGACCTCGAAACGTCCCCCCCACTACCCGCCTGCACCTGCCACCGATTCCTGCCACTTCTTGCATCAGCGTGCTCTGCACCTCAATGGGTCGGGGAACGGCACGATACTGCGTCATGAATCTGGTTCTTGCAGCTTCAACACCTGCCTCCCCTTACCTCCATAGACCTGCAGGCTCCTCAAGTAGCCGCGGGTGAAGTGGTAGCTGCGCACGACATTAATAATCTCCCACTCCCTCTCCACGAACCCTTTTACTGACATCTTCCATTACAAGATCGAGCACGCGCACGGCACGTGCTCAATGCGAGGCCATTGGATGAGGAATTGCTTGACTGCCGCTGCATAGTAGCTGCCCTCATCAGTGCATATCGCCACCACGTTCTCTGGCCCAGTCTTCTCCAAGATGGGTCAGAGAATGTCGGTAGTAAAAACAAACCTCAAACCTCAAAAACCAAAAAAAAAAAAAAAAAAAAAGTTCAACCTAACCTGAGTCGGTTCGGTTCGACTGGAACAAAAAGTTCGGAATAAGTTCGACCAAACATGTTTGAGTTGGGCTTGTGCTGAACCCTAATGTAACCCCCCATTTTTGTTTCCATCTGGCAGTCGAAGGCCTTGGTGAAAACTGCCCCCCAATCATTCACGAGAAGGATGTTGGCTTGGTGACGCGTCCCGCTTCCAGCATTCCGCAATCGGAACCAGCGCGGTCTCCACCCGTATCCTACATTCTGCAAGCCGGCCCCTATGACATAGCAGACTGCTGGTGGGCACATAGGAGGGTCCCGCGTGTGCAATGCACGTAGGAGCGTCCCACGTATTTTTAGGGTTTAGGGTTTGCGTATCTCGTATGTTCACAAACGTCCGCTTCTCTTGAGTTTATCTGCCAACTTAGAAGGTACTTGGAGCACAGGAGAAGGTACCAGGAGCACAGGAGAAGGTACCAGGAGCACAGGAGAAGGTACCAGGAGCACAGGAGTAAGTGCCATCGACAGTGGTGCCCTGCCTGAAGCCCGGTGGCACACACGAGTACGACCTCGCCCCGTCATTCACACACTGCCCCACCGCACACGGATTGCGCTGGGCTGCCTTGCACGCATCCTCTGACAAGGGGGAGGAAAGGAGGGAGGAGATGGGGGAAGGGAGGGAGGAGACGGGTGGGGAGGGTAGGGAGGAGGAGAGGTGTGGGAACGGGAGCAAGGAGAAGGGTGGGATGGAAAGGGAGGCGAGGGATGGGATGAGGAGGGAGGAGAGAGGTGGGATGAGGAGGGAGGAGAGGCGTGGGATGGGGGAGGGAGGCGAGCTGAAGGGAAGGAAGATGAGGAATGAGGGAACAAAGTGGCTGTGAGAGGAGGCAAGCATTTGTGCCGTGATGATGGTTTCAGCTTGTGAGAACAGCATCAGCCGGTAGCATTGACAGCAACAGCAGCAGCAGCCGCAGCAACAGCAGCAACAGCAGCAGCAGCAGCAGCGGAGGCTTACTGTAGGCACATGTGCAAGAGCCATCGGCGTTGGTTGCTTGGATGAACCTCAGGGCGAGGGGGAACAGTGCAAGTCAAAAAGAGCGGGCACGCAGACACGGCAACAGCCAACAAATGGGAAGCAATCTCGGGGTGGTTCCAAACAGGAAGCCAAGGTAGTGGTGATCGCAGCTGCAAAAGTCGCTCCCTCAAGCGCGCCACCTCCCAGTCCTTCTCACCAATAGGTACTCCCACCACTGTTAACCGCGTCCAGGATTGCTGCATTCCCAACGGAATATCCCCAGACTCTGCCGCCTCCCCTCTTTCCCACATCCTACACTTGTGCGATTGCACCTCCAAGCCCACCCATTCCAGTCGCTCCCGCAAGACGCTATACGCTGCCGACACTTGCTCCCATGGGCCTAGAACGTAGGTGTCATCAGCATAACTCAGGAAAAGAAGAGAAGAAGATCAGAGAAAATCCTTCATTGCAGGCCCCAGAACTAGGTGCTGCGTAAAAGCGAAAAGGAAAGGGCCGAATGGACTCCCTGCCGCGAGCCTCGCTCGAACGCCAGCATCTCGACAAAGGGGCCTGTGCGAAGGTACAGACCGCTGTGCACCAAGTAGAAGACGCGCAAGAAGGGGATAAGGCCAGCGAATGGAGAATCACGGAGGCTGTCAAACATCGCGTGCCGATGGAAGGAGTTGAAAGCATTCGCTATATCGATCTGCAGTGCGCACCACACTGGATGAATCGCAATAGTCGAACGGAAGGCATGCTTCTTGGGGATTTGTGGAAAGCCCCTCGGGTCCTTTGTATAGGGAAATATGGTACCCTCTTGAGAAGAATGTACGGTAGGTTGTAGAAAATTTACACTGATCCATCAAAGTAGCTTAAACAAAACCCTGTCGAATCAGATAACATATGTTATTCAATATCGTATCTTATACCAAGAAACATCACAGAAACTATTATGATCTTCAAAGAAATAGAGTAATTTACTATGTTAAAAAAACCCCCTGACAGTAAACGAGGCCGAGTAAAACAAGCCATGGATTCCTTGCGTCCCCCCTACCCCCCTCCTCCGCCCACCGAGCCATCAACATGCAAACGAGGTAAATCCTGTACAGCTACTGTGCGTGGAGCGAGAAACAATGAGCATGCGCACTCGACCAGGAGGTCAATTGTCGCACACTCCTTTCTGAAGCTTGACTTTGTCAGGCAGGCACACGCGGGTTTATTTGACGAGCTTGTCGATGCAGTCGTATCCGTTGACTTTTCTGTAGCAGCCCTTGATGCCCCGGAAGTACTTCACCTGAATGGCCGTGCACCTGTCGCCTGTCCCCACCACATACGCATTCGCACGCGGGCACGTGCCCTGAGTGTACGACGTGGAGCTCGCAATGCATGCCTGGGGGGATGAGGAGGGGGTTGGGGGCAATGGGGGGGAGGGAAAGCGAGTCAGATAATGTAAGACGGGCAAAGATTGATCCACAAACGTAGAGACGGGTGGGCTGATGCCACACACGCACCTCGAAGCCAGTGAAACCGTCAACATCAGTGTTTGGAATGAGGCGGTTGCACTTGATGCCGGGGTTGAGTCGGAAGAAGTCAATGGGGCTCAGAGGGGGGTAGGGCACATTGCGGATGGACTCGCACGTCTCTGCGCTCTGCACCAGGTAGTACTGCGAGCATACCGGGATGAGCCCCACATTATCCTTTTTGCGCTCCACACACACCGCCTGCTCCGGCTTCAGCAGCCCGCCGTTGGCGCTGCAGTCCAAGCTGGGGTTGAGCGCCTGGAAGGCGGCTGTGCAGGTGGCAGATGGGCAGGACCAGTGCACTTTGAAGTACAGCGCCAGGGCTGCACAGGTGTCACCCTGAGGATAAGGGGAAGAAGGGGAGGTGGGAGGAAAGTTAAGGAAGGGAGCGAGAAATTGTGAGAGTGCCGAGCAAAGGGTGGTGAAAGATTGAAGAGAGACAGAGGAGGGAGAGATGCACAGGGATATAAAGAGTCAGAGATTGTGAGTGCCTTCTTCAGGGAAGGTAGAGAGGTGAAACGAATGGAAAATATGATGTCGGGAAATGAAGATATTTTGAGATTGCTGTAATGGGATGGAGGCCATTGGGGGGGCGATACTACGACATAAGGGCGGAATATGAGGAAGATGAGCATATTTGAGGAAGATGAGCATATTTGGGGAAGATGAGCATATTTGAGGAAGATGGAAAAGATGGTGCATTGGCAGGAAGGGGGCAAGAAGAGAGGTGCGAGGTGGGGACCTGCTGAGTGGTGTAGAAGACGGAGCAGGGGATGAGAGAGGCTGGGCTGGCCACTTTTAGTACGGTAGAGGGTGGGATGGGATCTGCACATGACACTGATGGCTGCACACACCGAGGGATAGGCATGAGAGACAGCACACACCACGTAGGCATGTGAGGCAGGATGAAAAAAATCATAGGGAAGACAACTGCTGATGAGGTGTAGGTGCGGGAGACGCACGTTCTGGGCTTGGAACTGGGCGAGCATGAGGCCGTAGACCGGGAAGACATCGGAGCAGCGGACGTTGGGAGAGAGCACGGTGTAGGTGGTGTTGGTGACACCTGCATGCAGCCCAGCATGCCACGCAACACAGCATGCAACATGAAATATCCGAGAAATATCATGAGTAAGTGGGAGGTAACAGCACAGCGTTGTCAGTACAGCGTTGTGCATACGTGCTGTATAGTGTAGTATGTATTCATTTTCTTCAACCATTATGTCACACAGACGGTACCTGGAGCACAGGAGAAGGTGCCATCGACGGTGGTGCCCTGCCTGAAGCCCGGTGGACACACACACGAGTACGACCCCGCCCCGTCATTCACACACTGCCCCACCGCACACGGATTGCGCTTGGCTGCCTTGCATGCGTCCTCTGATGAGGGTCGTGGTGGAGAAAGGGGAGGGGAGGGAAAGGAAGGGAAGTGAACTGAAAGGAGGGACAATGAGGAAAGGGGGAACAAAGAGGCTGTGGTAGCAGAGGAAAGCGGTTTTGCCGTTTAGATGGTTTCAGCTTATGAGAGGTTAACAAACAGCATCAGGCGGCGGCGGCGGCGACGGCGGCATTGGCAGCAGAGGCTTACTGTAGGCACATGTGCGAGAGCCTTTGGCGTTGGTTGCTTGGATGAAGCGCGGGTCGTTGCAGTCACACTCGTTTGTCTTGCCCTTCGCAATGCACTTGAACTTGCCGCATGGATTGAAGAACGAGCCAGTGCTGTCATTGCGGGCGGCTATGCTGCAGGGGTCAGAGGTACCTGCAGGTAGAAAGAGAGCGGCCAGGGAGGGCAAGGAAGCAAGGCAGGTGTGTTCACATGGCAAGAAGTGCAGAATGGAGTATGGATGAACTAGAGCGTTGAAGAATAATGTGTACTCACTCATCCTTGACAGTGCAGCACTCACATTCATCTTATACCCTCCTGCGATTATGCACTCACCCACCACTTACTGTGCACATACTTTTCATCCTATAACGTGCATTCACTCACCTCTGACCACGGGGTAGAGGCCTGGCAGCGAGTTGATGCCGCACACGCCATCCCCCCCCTGGATGTCCATGCGCATGTGGCCCCCATCGCCCCAGTCAGGCCCCCATGAGTTGCGGATGATCCAGAAGGGCGGCGCCATGTGGGCGAAGCGCGAGTCCTTGCCCACCAGGCGGTACCCCACCAGCAGCACCACGTGGTTCAGGTTGTACGTGAAGCACGCTGGGTCCTGGTACTTGGATAGCTGGGGAGGAAGGAATGAATGGGTAAGGCATGGCAAGGCAAGGTAAATATTGATATGATGTGTATAAATTCAAAACTGCAGCAGAAGCTACATGCACACCTTCATTTACATGAGCCCTACTAACGCCCTACGATTTATTCATACATAGCCTCCTATTGAGTAACACAACTGTCCTACCTCTTTCAAAATAGCACACTTCTCGCCTCCTCCCATCACTAGACAGCATTCTGCTCGCCTCACCCCATCGTAGCTCTTGAACGAGTCAGCGGAAGCCTCAATGTGCACCACCACTGGCTGCCGCTGCACGGCCAGCAGCAGCCCAAACCAGCCATAGAAAGACGTCGACTCAAAGCCGCTGATGGGGAACCCACCGACGAGCTGCTGGGATATGTTTAGCACCGGGTATGGAAGAGGATGAAATCACATGGGGCTATAGCATGGAAGAAAATGCAGGCGGGCATATAAGCACTGAGTATGAGCTTGGACTGGAAGCAGCACAGAAATCAACCGTTCGAACAACGAAGCAAGCAGCATGCATAGAGTCACTCTTGCCACGCTGTGATGAGCTACTCACAAGTGCAACCCCACAACCTCACACTCACTCACTCGTACGCTGCCGCTGCCCTTCCCACACGCCACACCAAACAGCTTCGCCAGTGGCTTCACAAGCGGCGCGCAGAGAGGACTGGTGCTGCCTGCTTTTACGGGCACCTTCCCTTTCTCGCCCTGCCACTGACCCTCTGGCACGAGCCCGCCTCCCTTGGGCGCCAGCTTGAGCAGCAGCTGGAAGGCCTGAGAGGGCGTGCTGCCAGAGCAGCCGACCTTCATGGCGGCCTTCAGCTCTCCACTGACAGCACCGGCACCGCTGAGGTGTTGGAGAGAATGCCGAGTGCCGCCTCAACGCTGCCCACCACTGCGTACGCCCAGCAGTCGCCTGCCAGGAAATGAATGTGTTGCGTAGGTTGCATAGGGGAAACACAAACCTGTCCGGTTTGGTTCGACTATTAGCCAGGTAGACCCGGCTCTCACTCTACCTGAGGCAAGATGGCTCAACAAAAGTCGGGCGGACTAAAAACACTCCATAAGGCATGGCCTTATCACGAGCAGACAATTTATATTCGTCCAAAACAAACATCGGTTTTTGTTTGTTTGTTTGTTTGTTTGTTTGTTTTCTTCCCCCATAGTGACCCTTCTGGTGCAATCTTATGGATTGCACTCGGCTTGTTGTCCTTGTGTGTGCGTGTGTGTATGGAATGGTATAATAGCATGAGAAATTTCATATTTCGTGCTTATATGAGTGTGAATGATGAGTCATGATGTCTAATGTGTGTGGTAGCGAAATTTTGTTAGTCGCGTGTAACGTTGTCGTTTGCGTGTTGTGTGCGTTTTCTGATTTGTCGTGTGTTAAACATTCAGCGCGTCGCAGATGTGCAGCAAGTTTGCCATAAAGATAATGGAAAATGTTAATTTGCATTATGTAGTGTAATATTTCACTTGGTGTAGGCTGTTATGGTAGATAGTCTCGAGCCCCTCTATAGCTGGAAACTATATAGAACTGTTCCACCTCCCTGGACCTCGCCTCTTAAGGTTGTAGAGGTTAGGAGTCATTGACAACTCAAACTTCATATTTTGCGGATTATAATTGCTGCAATACTGCCGTTTGTTGAAACAATCGGTAAGACCACGTCTGTATCAAATCGAGGGATTTGCTTGGGTAGTGAAGCTGACATCAAGAAGTCCAAAGTCCAATCTATAGAACATCATTTGGTGCTGTGACCAATCCGCTATCAACGTTTGAAACCGATTTGCAGAAAGCCATCTTTGCACTCTGTTTTCATCCTAGTCACATTTGAGCTTGTTGTGACTAAATAGAAGTATTGGGTTCGTTTCAGAGGTGTAAATTTCGGTTACACTTGCTTGGTCTCAAGTGGACCGACCCTTGCTCGGTTCGTGGTCACACCTAGCATGGCCAAGTAGTGTGGGTGTAGGGGTACTTACCGCAAGTGGTTTGTGTCTTGACAGGCCATGTGAAGTTTGGATTGACCCAAGAAACTGCGGGGCGCACGCCATACACGTCATTGCCGTTCACAGCAGCAACACTGCCCGAGCTGGCATAGCGGAAGAAGAGATTCATCCCCGACAGAGAGAGCGCCGCCTCCGTGAAGGTAAACCCCAGCGCTGCATCTGTGATCCAGGATAACGCACATGATAGACACAATGATAGTAGTTGAGGGAACAATGGCTGAGCACCCGAAACTGGTTGAAATTGCAACTCCATTGATTGCGTCACACAGAAAAAAAGTAGAAACAGTATCACATGTTACCTGGAGTTGGCTGGACAGGAAAATCTGCAACAAAAACACGTAAGCAAAGAAGTCAAGCAAAGAGCTAAGTTAGAGCGGCAATCTTTGTTCATCAACTTGCTTTCTCAACGAAGGGGCGAGTGGACCACAAGTGAAACAAGGATGCAATGGTGCACTCACAGGTGCACAGGTGCACTCACAGGTGCAGAGGTGCACTCACAGGTGCAGAGGTGCACTCACAGGTGGAGAGGTGCACTCACAGGTGGAGAGGTGCACTCACAGGTGGAGAGGGGCACTCACAGGTGGAGAGGTGCACTCACGCGTTGAGAGGGTCCAGGCGGAGACGACATGGCTTTGAGGCTGGGCGGCGGAGGCAGCAGTGAAGCCGATGGCAAAGGTGTACTCTGATGGGGAGGGGGCGAGCTCCTCACACAGGGAGATGCGTGCCGACAGGAGGGGGGTGGTGGGGCGAGGGGACGCCTTGGAGGAGAAAAAGACGCGCAGGGAGCCATCAGAGGAAGGGTCGTACTCGATCCACACGTGCCTCGACTTGCCGTCATTGAGAGGGGTGCTGGGCTTGGCTGTGACCACCGACGTGACATTGCCGCCAGTGTTGATGCCCACGTGGTTGCTGTCAGGGTCGCTGTTGCCCGCATCCATCGACGTGTCAAACTCCACTGCCACGCTGCGCGCTCCCATCCCCGCATACCCCATGCCGCCCACCGCCGGTGCTGTGGGCGGGGTGGCATCAAAGGCCACCACAAAGGCAAAGCCTTCGGAGCCGGAGGCAGCAGGGCGGGTGAGAGTGAAGGAGAAGGAGGAGGAGAAGGCGAGCTGGCGGCCGCAGGAGTCCCCGATGAGCTGGTAGGAGAAGAGCGGCACGCGCGCTGCCAGGAACACACTGCCAGCCTTGGACGGCTGGGCGGGCGTGAGAGTGAGCGTGGCTGCATTTAATGATGCGTCTCCCGTGGCTGTGAGCGTGGCTGCTATGGGGGTCAGCTGCTGCTCTGTTTTACCACCTGGAAGCGGGCAGAAGGCATAGAGGTCCGATTGCATAAAGCAACTTCCAGAAGAAAACACTAGGCAGGAAGTGATTAAGAGGTATGGGCGCAGTCAAGAAAGGCAACCAGTGGGTGATATGATTAGCACGAGCATAAGGGGAGACAACATCCCAATGGATTCTGTGTGGCAAGTGCACCATGGGTATTTCGATTGTATATACCTGCCACAGGCATGCAGCTGCCAGGGAACTCCCCAACCACAAAGTTATCGTCACAGAGGCATGTGGGCGTGTTGCTGGGGCCGTCCAAGAAGCACACACCATGGCCGTTGCAGGCGGGCACAGGAGGGGAGGCGGTGCTGTTGACGCCGCAGAAGGCAGTGCAGACGGGGTCGGTCTTCTGTGCAGCCTCGTCCGCACCACATGCAAGGCCCTGTGGTGGTGTGGCCGCACAGTTGCTGCGGTATATGATGGCGGAGGGGAGGAGAACCCCTGACTCAAGTAGTTGTTGTCCAGCTTGTACGTCGTTATTGAACGTGGTACGGGCTCAAGGACCTTTCCCGTGAGCAGATTGTTCCTCAGGTTTCTGCGGGTAGAGATGGAAGGAATGTAAGGATGGGGAATGGAAGAATGGGTAATGGAAGAATCAGGAATGGAAGGATGGTTAATGGAAGGATGGGGAATGGAAGGATGGGGAATGGAAGGATGGGGAATGGAAGAATGGGGAATGGAAGAATTGGGAATCGAAGGATGGGTAATGGAAAGATGGGGAATGGAGGAATGGGGAATGGAAGAATGAAAAATGGAAGAATGGGAAATGGAAGAATTGGGAATGGAAGGATGGGTAATGGAAGGATGGGGAATGGAAGGATGGGGAATGGAAGAATTGGGAATGGAAGGATGGGGAATGGAAGAATGGGGAATGGAAGAATGGGAAATGGAAGAATGGGGAATGGAAGGATGGGAATGCTGAAGTCAATTTACAAGGTGCCGTGGATAGTGAGATGGTGAAAGGGGTAGGTACGTGACTAAGGTGAGAGTACAAGAAACTGGAGTTGGTGGGGATAAAACCCCAGTTGAATTTAGGACATGTTCAGTTTAGGAAACAGACTAAGAAGTGAGCGTAAAGTGGACTTGAAATGAAGCAAAGACGAAAATTGGGCGAAATTTTATATAAAGCGAGAACATGATTCAGAGTGTAAAGTAGCCTACTACAACAAACAGGGGAATGAAAGGATCGGGAATCGATGCATGAGAAATGGAATGATTGGGAATGGAAGGATGGGGGTTGGAAAGATGGGGAATGCGACCCAATGGGGGAGAGCGAATGAGAAAGGAGCAAACACCCTCGCAAGGCTGGAGCCCGGAAAAGCAACGGAAATAAGAAAGCAATTATACTGTTGGATGCATGACAGGGCAACTGAGTTGGGGGCGTATGGGGCCTTACAGAGTGTCAAGGTATGCACAACAACTAGAGAGACCTTGCGGTATGGTGCCAGTAAGGCGGTTGGAGCTCAGGTCCCTGGATACAACATGAAGCACAGTAGGCGAGGACTGAGGAAATGAACTATGGCAAGCCGAGCTTCGTCTTGGGCTCGAGGCCGGCTCGTCAAAGAACTACCCGTGGTTGGTGGTGGCCACGAGTTGTGCTCCACTTGCCCAATTTTCCGGAGCGAGCGGGACGGCTCAAAGCGAGCCCTCCCCTTCCTTCCTCTCCCCCATCCCTCCGCAACCTCTCCCCCTTCTGCAAAGCCATGCACTCCCTCCTCTCCCAACAAAATTGTTGAAACAAATTCCTCAGCCAATCTGCCGCCGCTTACCACTCTTCTCCACGCTGAATCTACAAATCCAACCCCCGCACACCATTTCACAAATCTCGCCATCGAGCCTGGCACTTTAACCTGGAACCAACCCTAGTGCAAGCCTTCAGCCCATAACATACCCCCCGCTGCTAGTGCAGGTCGGGGCGAAACCGCACTAGAAGATGACCCGCATTCGGTTCGGGACGAACCCAGCATAATTTGTTGAAATCGGGTGTCAATCCGACCCAACAAGCCCAAATCAGAAGGCTCGCCGACCCGTCCCGGACGGGCCATTTGTTCAAGCCTAAGCAGAAACACGAGCGGGATTGGAGCTGTGTATTTGCCCTCCCCCCTTCCCTTCCTGCCCTACTGCAGCCACTGATCCGATATGCCGATCCGCACAAACCTGTAGGGAAAATCGCCGATCCGCCCAGCACGAAGTTAAATCGGCGAGTTGAACAACCAGATTCGCCTTTGGGTCGAAACAACCCGCATTTGGGCTGACCTGAACGTATAAGCCTGGGTCGAGGCGGCGGCTTCCCCGGGTCTTGGCTCGGGGCCAGGTCGGCCTGACCCGTCCCGTACCCGCCTCGGGTCAATCCAGACAGGTCGGGTCGAGTCAATGCGAAACCCTCAGACATAACGCACTTAGGGGGGTTAGTGATGGGGGAGGCAAGAGTGGCGTGTGGGATAGGTGGGGGGGAATGACTAGGGACAAAGAAACAGAGCCTCACAACAGTGTGAGCCTTACAGCAGTGTGAGGTAGACCAAGCCTGTGATATCGTCTGGTATAGTTCCAGTCAATTGGTTGTCACTGAGGTCACTGGGGGAAGAGAACAGACGAAGAGCAGAGACGTGAAAAGCTGGTCAATCCAGAACGGAATGCAGGAAAGGAGGCTCAGGCAGCAATGGAGATGAGATGGAAGTGAAGGAATAGCTTGGATGTGAGTGTGGGGACTACGTTGGCAGATACGCTCTTGAAAGGCTGGCGTATCACGTATATTCGCTAGCGTATATGCGTGATACGCTGATACGCTCTGAATTCGCGAAAATACGGCCGGGCAGCCCGGCGAAAAAAAAAATCCGAAATTGAGAAACTTCGCGACGATGTGCGAAGTCGCGAAGTGTTACCGCGACTTCGCTCATGTGCCCAACCCCACTTCTGAACTTCGAATTTCAAAATCCAAACTTTCCCACCCCCTCAACCACACATCACCCCACCCAACCTCTCAATCCCAACCACCCCCTTCAAATGTTCTTCCATCGTTTGCACGTATAGGTCGACGTTGCGCAAATGCTCTTCCATTTCCTTCCCGCATTTCTCCACTCTTCTTCGTTAGTTAGACTTACGTAGTGCGCCATGGCGTCGGGCTCAGCTCCTAGTACTTCGACAAACAACAATCCAGCCTCTGTCCATGGCTCTACTACCGTCAACACGGATCCTGTTGAGGCTGGACTATCTCACCCCATTCTGAAACATTTCCTCATTCCGTTTCACACCAAAGGCAACCCCAAGCTGTGCAAGTTCTGTGGCAAGAAGTTCGAGGGCGGAACAAACCGCTGTGCAATCCATCTCGTGACATGGAAAGGGCAGGAGAAGCGCGCTGTGGCGTTATGCAAGGACGCGCCCACGGCAGTCCGCGATGAAGTCCGTGGCATGTACGAGACCAAGGCGGAACAGCAGGACTTGAAGCGAGGGGCGGCCGCTGCTGCAATTCACTCCGCGCTTGACGCTGTCAGTGGAAACCCGGAGAAAAAGAGCAAAATTACGGATTTCTTTGGCAATGAGGCGACGTGCGCCAAGGAGGACGCGGATAACGCGCTTTGCCTTCTGTTCGCGGCGCTGAAACTTCCGGAGCGCATTGCGGACGATCCGGTCTTCCGCTACGCGGTCCAGTGCATTGCGCGCTCTGGACCTGGGTACGTCCCTCCTAAGAGGCGCTACATTGGAGGGGCAGGCTTGAAGAAGGTGCGGCAGAAAATGGAGTGTTAGAAAGAAGAAGTGTTGGACTAGAAAGGAAAGGGAGTACAAGTACCTAACCCTAGAATTGTGTACCCCCTAAAGGCTAACCCACTGTAGCCTACACAAATACAACATATATAATGTTTGACACACCCCCATAGGCTAAGTGGGGGAGAGCAAGCGGTCACAAGACCAGTCAAAGCAAAGCAAAGCAAGACAAGCTCAGGGTGGATCTCAAGGATACCACACAAATTCCGAGCACAAGCAAATGGTCACAAGACCAGTTCACATGCAGTTTGATAATAGAACAAGAGGTACAGTGATCACAACCTAGCAAGTGTAAGCATGCAGGTATATATATAGAGATCATAGTACAAGCAGAGTCAAGAAGTGAGCAAGTGAGGGAGAGTAGGCACAAGGCCTAGAACAGTACAGAAACGCTGATGATCACAAGGCTGAAGTGCCTTGGTGAACACATCAGCAGTGTTGGCCCGAGTGGCCACGTACGAGAGACGAAGCTGACCCCTCTGCTGCAGCTCTCGCGCTAGGAAGTAGCGCAGAGCGATGTGCTTCGTTCTGTGCTCCAGTCTGTGCTCCTCACACAAGGCAATGGCTGCCTTGTTGTCGACGTACAGCACTGGAGGAGAACGAGGCCGCTCTCCGAGGTCGGTCAGCAGGTAGGTGAGCCAGCGTAGCTCCTGGGCCACCATGGCTGTGGCGTAGATCTCAGCCTCACAACTGGAGCTGAGAACAGAAGAAGAGCGTGTAGAACGCCAGGAAACAGAGCCAGAGCCAAGGCTGAAGGTGTAACCCTGAGACGACCGCTGCGTAGCCTGGTCGTCAGCCCAAGAAGCGTCTGAGTGTCCAGTGAGGACAACGTCGCGCCGTCCTCCAAGCACAAGCCCCATGCCCGACGTACTGCACAGGTAACGCAACACCCTCTTAGCGGCATCCATCTGCTCCTTCCGGTGACGGCCAGGAGCGACATAGCGTGCTAGGATGCTAAGAGGGTATGCAAGGTCAGGTCGAGTGCAGGTCATCAGGTACATGAGGCAGCCAACAAGCTCTGGATACGGGCCACTCGGCTCTACGGACTCATCCGAAGGCAGAGCTGAGAGAAAAAGTGACCGGTAGGAAGAGGAGTGGGCTGAGGCGAGGAGTACGTGAAGCCGAAGCGCTGAAGGACCTGCTGCACCATGTGTGACTGAGTCAAGGTGATGGTGCGCTGTGCTCTGTCCCGGGTGATCCGCAAGCCAAGATAGCTTGTCAGCTCACCCAGGTCTGTGCACGT